TCTTTAGAACTGTTAGTAGCAATTTCCCAATAAGCCTTCATGATGCCCTTTTCAAATAAATGTTAATGTTGTCACTAAAAAAAAAAAAAAAAAAAACTTCATCCTTTCTAATGTAAACATTTAAACCTTTATTTTCCTCTAAGTTTTGCTTTGGTTGCAATTTACAAAATGTATTATACTATATGTATTTCATTAGTATTCTGTTACAGTTGTTTACAGTATCCCTGGTGATTTCTTTGAAATTCATAAATTCTTAGAAATACTTAGAAATTTTCTAGATATTATAGTTATTGAATTCTAATTTAATTTTGTCTTGATCTGATATACTCTTAATTTTAGTTGAGACATAAATTATAATGTAGCATGATTTTTCTTTGTGAACATTGGAAGGAAATTTTATTCTGTAGCTTTAGATGTTATATTTTGTAAATGTCAATTACTTCAAGGTAGTTGATGGTATTATTTAAGTCTACCCTTTACATACTTATAATTTTGTCTAATTTTATCCATTAATAAAAGAATATTAAATATTTTAACTATTGTCTTCTTTCCCTCTAGTTTTATTAGTTTTTGCTTCATTTTTCTCATAGATACCTAATGATTTTTGTGTCTCCCTGTTGAGTTGATATTTTTTGTTATTATGAACTGGACTTTTATGAGTTTGGGGATTTTAAAATTTGGTATCATTTTGATAATATGAGGTGTGATTGAAATATATACTTAAAGTTTAAATTAAATAATTTTATTATAGTAAAAAACATTGCCATTAATATCCCCTCTCAAAGTGCTTGTTTCTTTGAGCATACTTATTCCATTGTTCTTGCCCTTTTCAGAGGCAATTCTGGAAGTCCTCTTTCATAAATATCTTTAGTTGTGGTATCATGGCTGCATTGATAACCTGAAGCTATTCAAACTGTTTACCTTTCATGGTCATTTTGACTTTGGGGAAGAGCCAGCCATGGCTTGGTTGCAGATCTGGCAAATAAGGCAGACGAGGATGCACTGTAGTATTTCTGTTGGATGGAAATTGTCACAAGGTGTAATAAAAGATTTGGTGAATGTTTAAATTGAAAAATTTATTGTAGTAAAAACCATACTGCCATTTCAAAATACTCAGAATACTTTTTGCTTTCAACAAACTTATCCCTTTGGCAGTGTGCCTTTTACTATAGTAAGTTTTTTAATTTAAACATTTATTATATTCTTTGATCACCCCTTGTATAGTATCATATGCTTTCTTACTTGGGTAGTTTTATTTTTCTATTCTCTTTCAGTCTGTCTTTCTATTTAAAATTTGTATTTAATAGCCTATAGTTCGTTCTTGTTTGCTTTTTATATAATCTGACAACTTTTGCCTTTTTTTGAGGAAAATTTGGTTCATTTTATTGTATGTTTTAGGTGTATCATCTTGGTGTTTGTTTTGTCTCATGTATCTTTTATTTTAACCAAATAATGTTTAATATTCCATTTTATTTCGTATTGTGGCTTTTTAATTATTCTATTGTGATTTATTTTCAGTGTTTGATCTATTTGATTTATTTTCAGTGCATTGTTATTTTATTACTATTTATAATAAATATGGAATTATGTTAATGTGAACTGCTCTTCACTATATGAATCATCTTGGTGTTTGTTTTGTCTCATGTATCTTTTATTTTAACCAAATAATGTTTAATATTCCATTTTATTTCGTATTGTGGCTTTTTAATTAT